AATATTTACAGGTCGCTCGAAGCGCCCAAAGTTTTCCATGTATTTTATATGGGGAAAAACAACCAATCAAAAATCTTTAGTATTCAAAAATGGTTAATATTGAAAGCCTTCTGAAGAAAACCAGAGATTTCCGATCGAAAAAAAATTGATATTCAAGAATTCTATACCATTTCTACGAAAAGGTGTTTTTTCCCCATATAAAAATACATGGAAAACTTTGGGCGCTTTGAGCGACCTCTAAAGAGCACCTCAAGAAGATCTGAATATGATCCTTCAGTTGAAGTCGCCACAAGAATTCGTGACGGGGCTGCAAAAGCGGCGCTTTATTTAAGGAAATAAAAAATTGTGGGGCACGCAGCGAACTTGAGTCCGATATGGACACGGACACTGATAACATCACGTCATTGTGGTGCTTCCACTTTAGAGTTATTATACGATTTCCAGATAGGGAATGGTGGGTGGTATGATGGCCTAATCGACGGATAATGATGGCATTTCCATCTACACACAAAGATTCAAAAAGTAGATGGCGTGCTTTTCTATTCATAGAATCTGCACGTACGGCAATAATGTCGCCTAGATAACCATCGGAGTTTCTGCAGACAGAGATATTTGCCATAAAAAAGGCTATTTGCTTTATAGGAATATTTTTAGGAAGTCTCTGTTAGGATCCAAGATACTGAAGACAAGATTTGTTCGGAAATGTTGCTCATCGCTAGCATCACTGAGTCACATTAACGTCTTTTCGATTTCTTGACCACTGTAGGGTATTCCAGGCGGAGGTGCTGACTATCCCAGACTCCACTTGGCACTTGGCAAGAGGAGTCAAGGAGTAAATATGGGCCTTTATCTTCTATGACAGTCAAGCAAATTTTGAAAGCTCAACACAAGAGATGCATTATATAATAGAACTCTTATGGGTGCCTGGGCACCGATTGAAGATAACAGAGAAGGCAACGAATTGGTCTGGAATGTTACCACTGCTCGCATCTATAGGTAGACATAGCAATGGACACTTATAAATTACATACAGCTTGTGGTAGGAACAGCATCCTTCTGTGAATCCGCAAGGCATGCGTTGCGCTCTTGCGACAAAAAAACGCATATCTATACACTTCGGATTAAAATGGAACAAGGTATTCCGACAGGTCACTACTTATTGTGGTACCTGTTGATGCGATAGCGAAGAGGAAAGTGAACAATATATTAGGGCTGTTCTGGATGTTGTAGAAATGGTTTTGGATTTGTAGTTGGAAATGCATTGCCAATTTTATGTACTTACTTTACTTTACTTGTACCCACATATGTATATACGTATGTATGTATGTAAATTATATTGGCACTCGATTTTACGCTTTTGCAATCAGACAAATGCGATCACTCAATCAGTGATTAACCCATTCCCGCATACATACTCGTCCATACATATGTACATATGTATGTATATAATTTTATCTGCGCGTAAGTCAATTCATCATGAGCGATCGGTGCCTACGTGCGACTACTCTACTGTATATACAACTGAGTTATACATTGAATCAATGCACTTTTTTTTAAAGCAAAATCTTTTTTAAATGCAGCATTTAATTTGTCAACTTTGATTTTGATGAGCAACTAGCCAATGCCCGATTTGACTAATGCTTGAAGAAATCGAAGTGATTCTTAAATAAAAGCCAGAGGGTCAGCCGCAAAGCGAGCGGTCTGGCAATACATTACATTGTTGATGATTTCTTAAGTTAAACCGCTACATTTTTGCCTCGCATGATATGCCAGAAAATTCAACGTGTATTCGCAATAAAAGAAGGTAGACTTAAATTGTTGTGTTTACTGTAAATATAAATGTATATGCATACATACATATGTATTATATTCATTCTATGTACATTAGGATGCATCACTCAACATACAAAAGACAATCGGCACTGTTCTAACGGAATTATAAAATTTTGTTTATTTTATGAAGTAAGCCAAAATAATTCGGTAAAACTTTAAGATTTACGAAATAAAATTAGTTTTTAAAAATATTTGTTGGCTAAAACACCTCAGTTGATAGAAAAGTTTAAGCTTACAATTTTTAAACATTTTATCAACTTTTTAAACATTTTATCAAAGAATCAAAATAAGATTTTTGGAGTTATTTTCAGCTTGGTCGAGCTCACGTAAATCTTAATACATATTTTCAAAAAACATTTTGGCGCAAGTCTTAAAATATAATAAATTTTATAATACCAGTGGAATAGCCACAACTTTTTTCGGTAAGGCACCCTAATGAATACATATATACACATGTTAAAACGATCAGCAATCAATTGCGGTTTGATAGCAGCAACACGAGTGGCTGATATATCTCCCGGCCTACAAAAAGTTAGAAAAAAAACTACAATTATTGGCTAATTTTGTAGACACAACAATATCACAGTGATCTTGCAATTATTTTTTGTTGATAACACAGGTTTACAAAAAAAAAGTGTATGCATATTAAACCAAACCTATATATCCCTAAAAAAATGTATTCAATTTATTAAAAAATTTTGTTTGTTTTTGTTGTCGCTGAATCCGAACATGGGGGTCCCTTGATTCCTCAACGTCATCTAGAAGTCGTGCTAAGGTGATCCCAAGTTAAAATCCACAAGAATTGTACATATTGAATTTTCAGGTTTATTCAATGAATTTTGCCCTACTTGACCTTCAACTGACCGCGAACCTGACGTTTTGGAGGCATGGGCGTAGTCAGGTAGGGGCAGGGGGGTGCTCGAGCCGCCCCCCCCTAACTTTCAAATTTTCCTTATATATATATAAAATAGTACCCTGAAATGCCAGCTTAATAGGGTCGAGCATTTGGCCTGCACTGAAACATGAATGCATGGAATCCACGAACAAGCGATACAAGACCGGTATGATAGGCCGTCTACGCCCAAAAGCTGCGGGGCCGAGAAAAACGCGACGATACCCCGAGCTGTTGGGCTAGTAGGCGACCACTGGTGTAAAGCAGACAGAGAAGGACCGGCATAGTCACTACGACAGGCCGTCTAAAGCTTCTCGGAAGAGTAACGGCAAGCATGTAAGGCGCTGAGCTAGTCGGCTAGGTATGATACATCTCAGTCGTGCAGGATGTTGCTCAGAGACGTTGAAAGATATCTGACCGTGACGCGCTTCTCAAGCGCAGTGATTATTATGGCCAATAACAACTGAAAGGTGGAAATGTGTAGAAGGGCTGCTAGCCTCAAGATGAAGAAGATGCATGAAGAAACTGGCAGACATTTGCTCCTTTTAAATAAATGAAAGATTCGACATTGAATTGACACGGATGCCTTGAGATGGCGGAAAGGGCTCTGATCCCCATGATACTGGAGGTTAAGGCATGAATCATATTTCTGCAGAGCCAAACCACGAATATTTATATCACAATATTTTATAGCGATCCTCGTACCGAAGCCTACGGAGAAGAGAGCAGGCTAAATAACACATATGTAGGTCTTAGAACCTAGGCAAGGCTGAGTAAAGCTAGAGGTGTAGAAAATCCAGCGCCGACCTGATATTGAAGATCCTATAAATTTCCGTAAATAGGAAAATAAAAGGAGGTACACTTTGTCCAGGCTTAGCTCACTCATCAGCCAAGCACTAAATAACATAGATAGGTCTCTGTTCATTCTTTATCAGGAAATATAAGCTTTCGGACTTGTCTAGACCTAAGCTGAGAGAAGCTAGTCCAGCTGATACAGCTGATTAGGCGGCACCTGGCGCCTACCACGCTCCCTCTCCTATTGGATCTTTACGGCAATCGTTCTCAAAAGAGTAGAGTTTATATAAATTATCACTTGCTAGTATAACTCAGAATAATCTCCACCATATTTGGTGGCAGCTGCAAAAACAGGGTACAAGAATTCGCAATCTTTTCCAACGCTGCGCTTGCTCCTGGATAAACACAAAGATAAAAATTAATATTAAAGCTATGATTAATATTAAGATTAAAATAAATGTTCCTTGTTACGGGTAACAGGAAGAAGGAGTTTCACTTCGGTATGGCGGGGTTCCACACAAAATTTTTTTCTATTGTTTAGGCATTGCAACGTTTGTGATTTTTGGGGTTTTCGAGAATTTTTCGGGGTTTTCCTCGGTGGTTTTTCGTAACCGTCCTTGTTGTTTTATTTTTCTTAACTTTTTTACGTCCTTCGTGTTTTACTTTTCAAAATTTCCCGATATTTTTCGGTTTGTTTCGGGACATTTCGCGTCTTTTTAGGCCAAAATATAGTGCATACATTTAAAAATTAACTGGTTAATGAAAAATGTAAGTCGGTGAAAATAGTTAGTATCATTTGATGTAAACTTTTTGGATATCAGCTAGAGTAGAAGCTTTTAAAACTTCATATAGATTTCGTCATCTCCCCTAAACCTATAAATAGTCTAGACCGGTGGCGGGCACCTCGTCGCCCGCTGGAAAAGCTCTTTTAATCGTTGCATACATACATTTTTGTTCGGATGCCTGCAGAGGGAAAGCTCAATCTGCTTATCGGTGATCTAGACCACTGATGATCAGAGAGAGCTTTCACCTATAATGAAAGCTTTAAAAAGAGTCTCTCGCGAAAAATGTTTTGGCGGTAAGATTTAGACCAAATTTGGACACTTCATGGGTACCTATGAGAAGCTTTTTAAGATAGCTATACATTTTGTATAAAGTGGTGTAGGGTAAAATCTTTCATGGACCAATACTGATATAAATTTTACCCCTACTATCGATACCGTAAAATTAAGGCTTTGTAAAATTAATTTTAAAATAATTTTGTTTGTAAGAAATTATCTAGAGTTCGGACACAGTGCAAATTTATACGACCCCTTGGTAAATACGCTATGTAATAATAATAGGGCATTCAATCTAAAACGAATTTTCGTTCTAACCCGAACAGATTTGCATGCAACACTTCTAAAGCAATATCGTCAAATTTTATATTCTTAGGTACTAAAAAATCTCGTTTGCTCTTTCGCTATCGCTTTTCGTACAGGTGAGAACAGCCGACCCTACAGATCCTCCGCGCTCGACAATTTAAATGCAAAAATCTATCAACATCAACAAGAACAAGCTCTCTATGAACAAGGCAATAAGTTGGAGGAATCTTGGATATATACATTTTGCCTGAAATGTCGTGGCGAAGAAAATCGCCCCTCATGGGAGCCACCTTACTGGCAAAAAATTTGCCCCTACCCGCTATGTCCCTCATTTCGGCAATTCTCGCGGCTTTGTGTACTCATACTAATTGGTGAGTAAATACTTAGTGAGATGAAATTTCTGAACTGGACTCAAGGGCCACTATAACTATTAATTATAATCTACTTAAATTACAGGTGTGCTCATCTGGTTCACCGCCTATGTCATCATCGGCGATTCAGCTGCCCCTGGTGGACAGCTTTTCAATTTGGTTGTACTTGCCGTGGCAGCTAATTTTGGCGGTTGGCTGGTATCGTTGACGACATTGCCGCGTCTCATTGGTATGCTGCTCGTCGGCATAATTTTTCAGGTGAGCTAAATGAGTTCATTCTTTCGGTATATGTACATATGTAGATTTGTAGTAATCAGGCACAATCATTCAATTGTTAAAATTATTTACGACCGATTTGTGATTGTGTGGGCGAGTGTAAATTTGTATATAAAATCAGCGGCAGTCTAGTGCGCGTCTAATTTGTATTTTAAATGAGGGTTTTGACGGCTTTTTTTTTTATCTATGTATATTTTGTTAGCATTAATGATCACGAATTATAGTATGGTAATTGCTTTACTATCATATGGATGTGTACATATGTTTGTGCATATGTATGAGTGTATGAAAATATTTTGGCATGTCATTTTCGTTATTGAATTGTTTTTATCACACCGGAACTAAGAAAAACAACTATGGATTGCTTAACATCATTGTTGCTAGGGCTGGATATACATACATATGTTATCTACAGACAAGGTAGAAGAGTTTTTTTTTTTTAAAGATCGCTAGCTGAAAACAACGAACTTTCTTAAACATCTCAAGCTTTTTAATTAGATTTCTTAGAAAGATTTTGAGTCAGTATTTTTGTAGCCCTTTCAATTTGAGTATAACAAAATGAAAGTTTGGAGAAGCAATGACTTAGATACCATAGATTTTTGACAATTTTTTTTTTTTTGCCAAATATCCGAAAGTCCTAGCTACTTCAAATTAGCACTTTATTGTACTTAAATTGAATGGGCTACAATGATGCCTTCTCAAAATCTTTTTGAGAAAGACACTAACAGTACTTCCACGCAAACAACTTGTATACTCAACGAATAAGATCTTTTGATGTTTTTTTTTTTTTGTTGAAAATGATTAACCCCACAAAGATAACTCTGCTAAAAGTTGCTGAAAAGATAACCAAACGTCTGTGAGACATATAATAGTTTGCTTGCATTAATTTTATGATAATAAAAATTGTATAAACATTTTTTTCAAAGATAGGAAGTCTTTATATATTTATTTGTTATTTAAGCGCATTTTATTTAAAAATACTTTTAATTTAAAATGGAAATACCACCGATTTCAATCTTCATTTCGCGAAAAATGGAGCTAAATGTTTAAAAAGTATATTCATAAAAAATAAAGTAGGTTGAAAAAGCTTTATAAATTAGCATTTTCATAAAAATTTTCGATTTATAAAACAGTTAAAGTCTTCTTTATTTTTTTATGAATTTTGGTGTTAGATTATAAGAGAAAGCATGGTTTGTGTTTTCTCCTGCAACTGAATTCCGTAGGTCCCGATCGGTTTTATAATAGTAGAGTATAAGAGGAGTTATTGTCAGTAGATCATTTAGAGCGACAATTCATAAGCGATTGCAGCTAGGGAGTTTTAGTCCCAGGGCCTTTCTTCTTGTAAATATATCCGTTCTCGAGGTTAACTTTCTATCAAGGTACATATCAAGATAATAAGTCTCGTTACTTTGGAGGATATACCTATATTATCCTTAATTGTGGGAAGTAAATTTTTACATCATATTTTTTGACCCCTTTAACCCCAACGTCGTTGCTTATACAGTTGAAGATATCACATATAAATCTTTGGTTCCGATTGAAGTCGGTTAAGGCGTGTCGCACAGGGGTCAAAGTTCAAATTACACCATGAAGACGTCTTAACCGACTCCAATCGGCACCTTGATACCTTCGATTATGGTAGTATCGATTCGATTTTGGGTATTAAATGAAAAAAAAATAAAAATAATTTCAATTTTTTGAGTCTCTATGGAGGAACTTTTCCCACTGTGCGACAGCCCTTAACCGTCTCCAATCAGGGCCAAAATTTATATGTGGTATTTCCGATTGAGAGGGTGAAACAGAAAAAAATCGTTCGTTTCATATCAAGAATTACCCTAATGCAGGTATATATACCATTGAGTTACACGGGCGGGCAGGTATATCGTTTGAGGGTGAATGCCACCTGGGCAGATTTTGACTCATTGGACTTTATTCGCCAATCTTTTAACCAGCAAAGGTGCCGACGGCGATTCCTTCTGAAGTATGTGTAGACTAAATTTAGGATTGGGCCCATAACGCTTGCTTGGGATGCGCCTGCTAAGCATTGGTGTGGTTTGGACGGATCAATACCCTGCTTGACGAAAAAGTCATTCCCACGACAGCCGGTTCTACGTACCGGAATGACTCGGGTTTCACCCGACCAAGGGCTGTTGTTTCGGTGATCTAACCCGGTTTAGGTCGGCGAAGTATCTTAGAAGTTGTCCGTCCATAGGCTACATTCACTACGCATTCTCCTACTCAGGGCTGGCATCGAGTCAAACCCTGGGCCAGAAACATACACCTGCTGTGTATGCCGAAGACGATTACACCACAACTCCACCTCAGTCAAGTGTAATGCCTGCGAGGGGTGGAGTCACCTCAGGGTCTGCTCGGGACTACGGACACACAGACAGTGGACCACGTCGTACGTGGCCCCCTGTTGCTCAAATAGAGCAGCTTCCACGGCTAACCATAGTCTGCCCGTGCAGCCCCACACACTCACACAGCAGCCACACACAGTCACCACAACACAACAACAAAATAACACCACAGACCGTACCACAGCCACCACAGACCACATAACACACACAACCGCACCACCACCCACACGCCGCCGCCAACAACTCCTGGTTCCCCCTACAATCTGCACGGTATGTCAGACCAGGATATTCCGTAATGTGACATCAGTCAAGTGCAACACCTGCCTTGGCTGGTGGCACTTTAGGGCATGCTCAGGTCTGCGTACCACGCGAGATTGGACGGGGAACTTCGAGGGCCCGTGTTGCGCTGCTCGGTCGCAGACTCCAATTGCGACGCCCCCCACCACCACCACAGGGCGGCAATCACCTCAGCAGCACACACAGCCAACGGCGGCAAGAACATACACCTCACTCACACCCCACATCACGACACGTCTCCCGAACCACATGAAGCTCCTTCAATTCAACTGTAACGGGCTACAGAGCAAGATTGAGGAGATAACCGTCTTCATGTGTCGGCATGGTATATTAATAGCTGCGGTCCAAGAGACGAAGTTGCACAGCAATTCAACTTTGTTGAATTGCGCCGGGTACAACGTGCACCGTCGAGATCGCGAGCGAGATAATGGTGGTGGCTTAGCGTTCATCACGCACCACACCGTGCAATATCGTCTTATCGAAGCAGACATCGACCGCAGGGATACCACCCTAGAATGTCAGGGCATCGCTATCCGGTCAGGCGATGTCGAGCTCGAAATATTCAACATATACATACCCCCTGTCACCTGCTGCCCGGCAGGATATCACCCTGATATAGGTGCGCTCCTCAGAGGTGAAAACCGTATGGTAGTAGGTGACTTTAATGCGCACAACGATCTTTGGCACTCAAGCCTGTCAAACGATCGTAGGGGAACAGACTTGGCTGAGCAGATAGACGATTCGACATTCTGCACAATGAACGACGACGCACCCACCAGGATTATGGGTAACTGCAGTAGCTCGCCAGACATCACAATAGTCAGCGCTGGTCTGATAAACAGCATAACGTGGCGACCTATGCTGACTCTAGCATCAGACCATCTACCCATAGTCATCTCGATTGATAAACCAACCGACTTTGCCTCCGCCAAACACCGGACCTATATCAAATTTTCTAAAGCTGATTGGAAAGGTTACGCGGAGTTTACCGAAAACACCTTCGCATCGCTCCCCACACCAACCGACGTCCATCTCGGTGAACGTAAGTTCCGCAGGGCTATCACTGCTGCTGCAGCTCGCTTCATACCGGCAGGGTGTTTATCGGACCCACGTCCAAACTTCCCTGCCGAAGCGGCTGTTCTAGCCAATGAGCGTGACAGCCTTCGTCAGGCCGATCCCGGAGATCCCCGTATCAGGGATCTCAACGCGGAGATTCGGCAACTTGTAAACGTACATAAGCGGAAGAAGTGGGAGGAGCATCTGAAGACTTGTAACTTCACCTCTGGTGTGAGCAAGCTTTGGTCAACCGTGAGGTCATTGTCTAATCCGACGAAGCACGACGACAGAGTCGAAATTTCCTTCGGCGACCATGCTTCGTCGGACCCGGAGCGATGCGCGAGCTTTTTTAGCCGGCAGTTCATACTGCATCCTCCGGTGGACAAAGCCAAGCGTCGAGTGACCAGAAGGCTGCACAAACTGCCAACAACTTGTGCCCCCCTTGCTTTCACTTGCGGTGAAGTTCAGGTGGCCATCGGGAAGGCGAAAGCCTCCAAAGCCATGGGTCCCGACGGAATATGCATGCTGGTGCTGAAAAATTTGGGTCCTGCGGGGGTAGCGTACCTAACGGAGGACCTCAATTTGTCAATGGCCACTCTCATCATCCCAGACATCTGGAAGGTGGGGAGAGTGGTCCCACTGCTCAAACCGGGGAAACCTGCCAACAAAGGAGATTCGTATCGTCCGATTACACTCCTTTCCCCGGTAGCGAAGACACTCGAGGCCTTGCTACTCCCGTACTTCACAAATCACCTGACCCCAGCGATGCATCAGCATGGTTTCCGTAAAGTGCACAGTACAACAACAGCACTTAACGCCATAAACACTCAGATAACTCGTGGCCTTAACCGTAATCGTCCCTGTGAGAGAACGATCCTAGTAGCGTTGGACTTGTCAAAGGCGTTTGACACCGTCTGCCATTCCACGCTACTAGAAGATATAGAGGCCTCCTCTCTCCCACAGAGGCTCAAACGGTGGTCGGCAAATTATCTGAGTGGTCGACATTCGTCGGTAATGTTTAGAGACAAAACGAGTAAGCAGCGAAAAATAAAACAGGGGGTTCCTCAGGGTGGTGTCCTTTCCCCGCTACTGTTTAACTTTTATATTTCAAAGCTCCCTCAACCACCAGAGGGAGTCTCGATTGTCTCCTATGCCGACGATTGCTCGATCATGGCGACTGGGAATGGAATTGATGACCTGTGTTCGAAAGTAAACGGCTATCTCTCCGAACTTTCTCGCTTCTTCACTGCAAAGTGTCTAGCCCTCTCCCCTACGAAATCCTCCGCGACCCTGTTCACAACCTGGACGAAGGAGGTCAGGCTACCGCTGGGGATTCACGTCGATGACACACCAATTCCGACGGTGAATAACCCCAAAATACTCGGAGTAACTTTCGACAGCCTGCTCTCCTTCTCTGCGCACTCAACCGCTATTGTCAATAAAGTACAGAGCCGCAACAAGGTCCTCAAGTCGCTAGCCGGCAGTACTTGCGGCAAAGACAAAGAAACGTTGCTGGCAACATACAAGGCAATAGGCCGGCCGGTTTTGAACTACGCAGCGCCAGTGTGGTCGCCAGGGACTAGTAGGACGCAGTGGACGAAGCTACAGACTGTACAAAATACCGCACTCAGGACAGCGACGGGATGCCTCTTGATGTCGCCTGAACACCACCTGCACGGCGAGGCGCAAATGCTCCCGGTAAATGAGCATAATATATTGCTCCGCAAGCAGTTCCTGATCGGGAGCCACAGAAGTGGCCACCCAAGCAGACAGCTGCTTGCAGAGGAGCCCTCGCCTAGGCACGTCAGGAGGCATCTATATGAACTAACGGACGAAGTCCAGAGGTTCATTAAGCAACCTCTGGACCCGACAGCTTACAGACAGGCCCTGAACGGCATTCACAGGGACTCAGTCTCGAGTTATGTAGACTCTAGACCTGTGAATGCCGTTCTAGGCACACCACCCCCGGACATAGACGAGACTGAGCTTCATCTGCCTCGGGAGACACGCACTACACTCGCACAACTTCGCTCCGGCTACTGCAGCAGGTTAAACTTCTACTTGAGTAGGTTGAATGAGGATGTGCCGAACGAATGTCCGGCATGCGGAGAGACCCCACATGACTCGAAACATCTCTTCGCATGCCCGGAAAACCCGACAACCCTAACGGCCTTGTCCCTTTGGGCAAACCCCGCAGAAGCTGCACGCTTCCTAGGGTTGCCGTTAGTGGAACTTGACGACAACGACTGAGATACCAACCGATCTGGGCGGGGTTGTTGTAGCCGCTACAACAACAACAACAACAAAGTAGCGATTTTTAAGGTACGACTGAATAAATATATAGAAGTTAATTGGTAGTGTAGTTTTATTTTCATAAAGTAATTCATCGTATCAAACGCGGTCGAAAGCTTGTGAAATATCGGGGAAGGACTTGTTCAATTGTGCTGTATTTTTTCCTGAAGCCAAATTGATGATCGGCGGCAGCTGTGGTGTGATGGTTAGCAGTGCGTGCTACCATTCCGCAGGGCCAAGGATCAAGCTCGGTTCAACCCAACATAAAAAAAAAACAAAAATAAAACAAAACAAAAATAAAACAAAACAAAAAAAACAAACAAAACAAAAAAAAACAAACAAAACAAAAAAACTAACAAAAAACAAAACAAAAAAAAACAAAAAATAAATAAATAAAAAAAAAAACTTTTTTCTCTAAAAGTGCCCGCCGAGAAAATCAGCTTCTCATAAATATACAATCGCCGTTGTGAGTAGGCGTACTTCTGTAAACAAATGGAAAAAATTTCTAATTCAGATGTGTACGAAACTGCGAGTATTTGGTTAAAGTTACAATTAAGAAACAGTTACTAAAGCAAACATAACTGAATACAACATTTTCTCTCTCTCTCTCTCTCTTTCTTTGTTGCAGAATGTTGGCTGGGTACATTTGGATGGAGATTTCTCGCGCGTTACAGCACATTTGCGCAAATTTGCGCTTACCATTATACTTATTCGAGCTGGACTCGAAATGGAGCCTGAGGCTTTTCGTAAGGTCTACAAAACAATACTTAAACTTGGCATTATTCCATGGTTCATGGAGGCTCTTATCATTTCGCTTACATCTCACTGGCTCTTGGATTTACCTTGGATCTGGTCATTTCTATTGGCTGCAGTAATTGCAGCCGTATCGCCGGCTGTTGTTGTGCCTTGTCTTCTTCGATTGCGTTCGAAAGGTTATGGCGTAGCCAAGGGTATACCCACCTTGATTATCGCCGTTTCCGGCATCGATGATGCCTTATCTGTAGCACTTTTTGGCATCATAAGCAGCGTTATGTTCTCGGATCGTGGCCTCGGCTATCAGATTTCGCAGGCACCTGTGTGTATCATTGGTGGTCTTGCATTTGGCGTCATCTGGGGTTATATGGCGCGTTTCTTTCCGGAGAAGGGTGATGAATATGTTGTGCCACTGCGTACTATATTATTATTCGCTGGCGGCTTAGTTGCCATTTATGGCAGTGATAAGATTGAATACGAGGGCGCCGGCCCGTTGGCGGTCGTCTTTTCGGCATTTGTATCGAACTTGTTCTGGTGCAAACAAGGTTGGGAGGTGGAGGATAATCCAGTGGGCACAGCATTCGAAATCATTTGGATGGTATTCGAGCCGATACTATTTAGCGTTACAGGCACCACTATTAAGGTAGGTGTAGTATGAGTGTTGAAAAGTTGAAAATACAAATTTGAAATTAATAATTTTTTTAGCCGACTTCACAAAATCAATTCGGAATATACATATATATTTTTTTGGGACCACGTTACACGATTTCTATAAATTTTTTTTTACTTCACAGGTGGTCCCATACTAATTTGGTTTAAATCCGATTATTGGATCGTGAAAAAATTAACGATAATCTTAAATTTTTATATAAGAATTGAAGTGAGTTTTGTTTTTTCGCTTAAAAATTACTAGTTTTTTTTTTGCTTCGCAGATTAACGAATTGGATGGCGACATTGTCTACTTGGGCGTGACATGCATTGTGGTTGCTGCGGTCATACGCATCCTTTGCACAGCGGGCATTGCTTTTGGTGACCGCCTCAATACCAAGGAGAAATTCTTTGTTGCCATCGCCTGGATGTCGAAAGCCACTGTACAAGCGGCGCTTGCGCCAGTTGCTCTGCGCAATCTGGGCAATAATGCTAGCGACACCGAGAAACGCTATGCCAGTATTGTGCAGACACTTTGCGTTTTAAGTATTGTTTTGACAGCGCCTTTAGGTGCTATTTTGATCACTCTAACCGGTCCGCGGCTGCTGACACGCACCAAACAACCACAAGTACTGGAGGGTAAGCATTTACATATGTACACATATAAATAGTATAGCAAATAATAACAAGAAATCGTGGTGGACATTAAGCTAATAATTTTAACAAAAAAATCTATACATAAATCTCCTATATCCTTCGCCGACACAAATAAATATGTTATTTTAACGCGTCAATTATTAAGATATGGTCCAGTAATTTGGGAGTTTAGAGCCCATAATAATAACAAAAAATTGAAAAGTAATTCTCCTATATCCTTCCCGGACACAAATTATTTTAACACGTAAAACATTATCGCTTTATCGCTTACAAAGAATTTGCATTTGAATTTTATGTATTTATACATACACACAAACATATATTAAATGCAATGAATTAATTGTTTATTACTCATTTACATTAAAGGCTGGCGACGCAGTCATCGTCCATCCATTCGTGATATTAGTATTATTGACGAGGAGGAGGAGCGTGAGGATCCCGAGTTGCCGGCGGACAAGACTACCGCTAATAATACACAATCGAATGCACATATCAATAACATTGGCTACGCACATTAGCCGCTTTGGATTTTGTATTGTAACTATTTTGTATACCAACTTTTTGGATAGTTTTAAGAACAAAAAATCGACCTATATATGTATCCATATGTATGTGTCCATCCAATATAGTGTTGTTGGCATAGCTTTACGTGATTTTGTTGCTGAATATACTACTATAATACATATTTGTGTAGAATGTACGAGTGTGTTGAAATACTATTAAGTAAGCCTTTGGCAGTATAATATTATCTATTGTACAGATACTTAACCTACCGCCCAGCATAAAAACTTTCTCGTGTTATTGTTTTTTTTTTCCTTGCTTATACATTTAATGTTTAAATATAAATATATTAATTAAATATTCAGACGAATGAAGTCTGTGCCTATACTTTAATTTACCAAAGGAATTTGGCGTTTGCATTAAAAGAGAATATGAAGTTTTTAGCCATGCAACAACTCGCTTTTTTTTCTTCTTGAATATTGTCAAATATTTATTACCCTCTTTTAGCCATTCATTTTAAAGCACTCACAACTTATAAGTAACTCTGCAAGGACTCGCCGAGTATATTTTCGAGCTCCTGCACAGCCTGCCGCGTGTTCTTCTCCACACGCTGATTCTCATCCTCCAACAGCTCGGCCACGAAAGGCACCGTTTCCGGCAGCAGTGACGTAAAGTCTTCACCCAATTTGCGTGCAATCTCCACGCAGCAATTGAAGGACAATATGCGCACCTCAGGTACGTTTGTGCGTGTCTTCATCAACACTTGATAGTTCAGCTGCTTCCACATGATGTCATTCGAGACGGCTGCGGCCAACTGTGCAAGGCATGCCTGCAATGACTGCTGCAATTCTTCGTTTTCCAACACCAAGCGATTCTCCAGCTGATCAACCAGTGGCACCATGAGCACCTCAAAGCGTTGGCTGTTGATGAAACCTTTGCTGTCGTGTAGGAAGAGGGTGTGGAGTGTATTCAATATGGCTTTAACAATATTGACGGTGAGTGTCTCCACATCGGTATCAATCGCTTGTTTTGCCGCATTGTAGTCGTTTAGCAAAGTAGCCGCATCGTCGATGAAGTCGCGCGCAAAGAGTAAGAATAATGATTTGAGCGCTTCGGCGATGCGGTTGGTGAGCAGGAAGAATGTTAGAATGGTTTCACGTTGTGCCCGTTGTTTAATGGCCCACTCATACACCTTCTGATAGAATGGACGAAAACTGCTCTCGGATAGCTTCAATACCCAAGTGACGAAGGCATCGATAATAACTTTTTCGGTGCTAGCAGCTCGCTCAAACTCACAATGGCCTTGCACCTGCAAACGGAATTCCAAGGCATACAAGAAGAATGTGCTCAACTCACTTTGCACACCGCTCAGATCAGCGCTCGCTGTCTTGTTGATGCATTCGGGTAGCAGTTCCATTAAAACACCAATGTCGGCGTAATTGTGTGCATCCATTAGCTTGCGGTAGGACTTCTCGCAGCTGGGTACGAGTATGCGAACCGGCACGTCGCTTGCTATTTTCGACCAGATGGTGGAGATGCGATGCAATGCGGTGGTGGTACGTTGATCGCGCTCATTTTGTTGTTGTGCACTAATAATGGCGGAAATCGTACTCAGCGCGGTGATTACATCCACTATGTAGGGGCCCAAGAAGAGTGGCAGGGATTCGAAGAGCTTTTGGGTGCCTGTGAAAAGAGATTTAATAAAAAGTGTTATTCGAGTGAATTCACGAAACTTTTGAATTAATCGACCCTATTGTTTGCCGACATCGATGTCATTTTTTCGTCAAAAAATAGCCCTCATCGGTCCAACACCGGTAGTTTTGTGAGGAACATCTTTCCGTAAAAATATTGTGGCCAGCGTAGCTAGCCTGGGACTGGGGGGTCTATTTTTGTTGACAACCATAATCGGGCCTATTATTTCTAAATAAACTTATGTACATTAAATAGAATATTGGATTATATTGGTAATAAATTTGTTTATAGTTGCTGTTGTATAAAAGCATTTTTCTATATACATAAATCGATGGCTGAGTGGAAGATCGACCTATCTCGCCAGCCAGTTCAAAAACGCCCTATCTCAGAAAACTTTTCACGAACGCCCTGCTTCAGAATTTGATTGAATAACGCCCTATGTCAGAACTCAGTTCAAAAGCGCCCTATCTCGAACGAAAATACTTTGAAAATAAGCTGAGATAGGGCGATTTTAAATTGGCAGCTAAGATAGGGCATTCTTCAACTAAATTCCGAGATAAGGCGTTTTTCAGTCAAATTCTGAAGTAGGGCGTTCTTGAAAAGTTTTCTGAGATAGAGCATTGTTCAAAAATTTTCTGAGATAGGGTGTTTTCGAACTGGCTGCCGAGATAGATCGATCTCCCACTCAGCCATCGAAATATCGATTGGTTTATCGATATATTTACCCATATTGTTATCGATTAATTTTTCGACATAACTTTCGAGAGTTATTAGTGTCACTATTTATCGATTTCTTTATCGATATACCAATGAATAAACATTTTATTTATGCTATTCTAGGTGTTTTCGTGCCAGTGAATTAAAAAGGCAAACAAAATAATTTTCTTTCCTCCTGCTCCATTTATCGTCGATTTTCGACATATTTTTCGATAGTTGCATCGATTTTTCATCGACCACGTTATCGATATGGTTACAGCGATACATCAGATTTTATGATAAGTCACAAAATATGAGTGCTCTTATGCCTGTTGTCTGCTATCGATGTTATCGATTTATTTTTTCATATATGGGTGTTTCCAGCGGAAGGTCCACCACGACAAAAAAAATAAAAGTTCTATATCTAACGTATTTACGGGCCGATTTGTCTGCTTTTTAAAGTATATACTGGCTATGTAAGTAGAATCATGTTTGCATAAAATGGTCTTCCTAGGTGGTGCCAAGGTCGAGATATTTCGAAAAACCGTATTTATGGTCCGATTTGGTTCGAATTTGTCGTATGTAGTTGAAACATAATAAATCATAGATTTTTAATAAATTGACTCTGAATTGGCGCTGAAGTCAAAATATAAAGTATATTCTACATAAAATACAAGTTTTAATTGAGTTAAAAATTCATTTAAAAGCAATATTAACAAATATATAACGATGGAAATTTATGTCACGTGACGCCACGTCACGTCACGTTTCACACTTGGCGTTGTAAAATAGAATTGAAACAATTTGCATTAATTCGAAAAACTCTAAAAACAACTAGAATTGCTCCAAATCATATTAAAATAAGTTTCATGAAAATAGCCATCCACAATTCGCAGAGTTTTGCGATTTTGTAAGAAAAGAAAAAATCACCTTCCATTTTTTGTCACGTAACGACACTCTCTTTAAATGCTTATATTTCAGGACCAAGCAGTTCGATTGATTTCATCTTTCGGTTAAATATAGAGCTAATTATGTGCTATACAATGGCCCAAAAAAGTTAAAGAAAACAAATGGTATTCCTTTTTTGTATCACATTGAAATCGTACGACTGTCACGTGCGCCACCATGGGAATGCCCATATGTAATTTTCGATAGATTTTACAGTTATTTTTTGTCGATATATCGAGCCCTTACCGCCAAAATAACGTAAGCGTGATTTTTTTCAAAATTTTCTTTTTGATGCAGAAATATTCCTAGAGCGTCTAGATGCACTTCTGCATCGAAAATACAATTTTTAAAACAATGTCGCTTACGTTATTTTGCAGGTTAGGGCTCGATATGTACCTACATAAGTCAGTTTTCAAGTTTTATGGTCTCTTTGGATCTTTTGGTTGCTTTCTATTTAAAGAACTAAGAATTCACCACCAACCAACCAAGAAGAACCACTTGAATGCAATAAAATTTGACGCGCCTGGAATAGAAAACACTAAAGAGAATGCGAAAAAAATTGCTTTCAAGACTTGACGTGTCTGGAAGGGGACTAATTACCTATAGGCGAACGGATCTTCATATCGATACATTTGTCCAAATGATTAATTGTTTATCGATTTTTTCGATGACCCTTATTACATTGACTCTCAAATTTCTATACTTATTACAGTGGCACTCAAGAAATCTCCTTGTAGCTGCTTTGAAATTTCTTGGCATACACTCACTGTAAGGCCCCTATTATGAGTCACAACTTTGCAGATAGTTGAGTTGTAAGTTGTAAATTGGTATTGTGGGACACAACCCAACTCAACTTTGAAAACGTAGTTGTCTGTCAGTTGTCTGGTAGCAGCATCCTCAGGATTATCGGTAAAACATAATTCGTAACTGATTTTCATTTTTTTTGCATTGAATTATTTTAACATAATCAAAATAATACATATATTATTATTAAAATACCTAAATTTGTATCAAATTTCCGACTTTTTCACTGGCAACAGTCAATAAATAGTTGAGTTGTCTCAGATACAACTTAACTAAGTTGAGTTGTGAACCATAATAGGGGCCTAAATTTCAAATATTATCTAACATTTACTCACCTGTGATAATAGCGATGCACACATTGTCCGGTGGTTGCGTTTGCACCAGCTTCGCTTGATCTTGCAGAATTTCAATCATCTGCGGCATATATTTAGGCAGCAGTGCCAATGAATGCGCTTTCAAGTTCGAAGAAATTTCAACAATCGTCAAAAGAACAGTTGCCAGCACAATTTTTGAGATATTTGAACGTTGTTTTAACACCTTTATTAAATGCCCCAGTATTTCTTTAAACTCCTCGATATGTTGAAGCGCAAACATTTTCGATAAGAGTTTGATGGCAATCAGTGCGGTCTGCTGTAGGAATACCAAATCATTGGAGGAAGAAGGCGATGCAGTGCCCGAAGTTGATGGCGGCTCCTGATGCTTGAGTATGCCCAACGTGATGTCACTTAGCGGCTCAAGTAGATTGTAGAAATTATCTGGATCACAATTTTCAAAATAGCCATCGCGTTGCTGGAGTTTACTGATCAGCAATTCAATAACTTTCTTTCGTATGCTAAGTAGCTGATGTCGCATGAGCCCGTGTATGACGACGAGGAACATGTCCGGGGAGAACAGCGATATGGCATTGTCCAACACATCGTGCAGGTGGTGTAGTATGACCTTCCAGAACTTGGTTTGTGACACTTCCTCGGCTGCCTCAATGGCAGTGTTGACGACGGGAACATACGAAAGTGTTTTAATGATGAAACTCTGATAATAGGATTTTATAGACAATTGTTCGGAGTCGGTGAGCAACGCAATTTTACGCAAAAACTCTGTTGAATTGGAAATGGTCGAGAGAAACTGCATGATGACATATTTGTAGTGTCGCAGTTGCTTGGCGGTGCGAGATTGCACGTCGAAAAGACTCATTTCGGTAGAATCCATGGCTAGCGGCATCGGCTTGTTTTTCTCCTTGCTATTTCCGCCGTCTTTTTTGTCGAGCGGCAGCGCCTTGATGTAACTTAGAAGTTCTATACATGTCTCGAGCGTTATTTGTGGTTCAAAAGTGTTGGTCAACTCCAAGCAGATTTCCAAGCGCTTCGAGAATTTCTCGCCACCACTTGCCCCTGATGCTGAGGACGTTGTGGGTTTCGCGTTTTTATTCTTGCGTTGCAATAATCGCTGCTTTTCATCCTCCAGCACAATTGCCTCAAAAACAATGCAGAGGAAAATCCATAGGTATTGCTCGGCACCGAGCGTCTGGAACAGCTTGTGGTAGAGTGGCAAACGGCGATGCTCGGGCACATCCAGCAGTATATCGGAGAACACCTTTAGCACCGGTATGACATATGCGGAAGTATTACCATCGCCTTTTGCACTACTGTCCTGCGAACGCACCAGTATCGGCACGATAGACTCTATCACATTGTTGATGATGTGGAAGCTAAATGCATCATCGTGCCGCACTACCGATGAGCCCATGAATGTGAACACGTCCACTACACTATGCAACACCTGCTGCGGAAAGAGCGCTGCACAGTGAGACAACAACAGTAAGGCGTTATTCTGTGTTTGCGGGTTCTGCGCGCCTCGCACGCACTGTACGATCAAATCAATGCGGAAAGTAGACTTTGGCAGCACGTTGGTTAGCTGTACGCCGCTTGACCGCGCGTGTTGACAGCAATGGAGTATCATGGAAAGCGCCAATTGCTTCGTATACTCCACCACAGTTTGCTCCTCCTGCTCCAAACAGAAGCGCAATAGTTCGAAAAGCGGCGCCAACAATTGCTCCGACTGCACGAGCTTCTTTTTGTGTTCGAGCAACTCCAACAGCGCTACACCCTGCTTCCATGCAAAAGTGCTCACTTTCGCCGTTGATAAGCTAACAGCTTTCTGATCGCGTTTGTCAGCAGCTGCGGCTAGGGACTTACGCTTAGCATTTGCTTCTGAAGTGCCATCAACGCGACACATTTGCACCAACAAGTCGACGAGTGGCGCACAATTAACCGTACACTTTTTCAGCATCTTGTTGGAACTAAGGAAGACAGCATCATTATCTGAGGCGGCCATTGTTTTCACAATCAATTTCACAAGCTCGCTTTTATAATTCTGCGGCATCTGCTCGTAGCAGTATTCGTCAAGCACCTCGAGCAGCAGGCAAGGCACGGAACGCAGCTTGCCATTATGCGGCACAAATACGTTATGCGCTGTAAATATTTGCTCAATGAACTGCCAAGCCGCTGGATCGTCCGCCAGCACAGCATCGATTGTGTGACTCTCAAAGCGTTCGCAAATTAGCTGCAGTATAGTGCAATATGGCTCGGGTAGCAGCAGCAGTGCATCCTCTCTGCGTGCTTTCTTAAAGGTGCGCGCGCCCAGCGGTATTAAATCAGCTAACAAATTATCGTCATTTATGTGCTTCAAGGTTTTCAGCACTTGCGCTGTGAATACGGCATTATTAAGTGAGTCTTCAGCCGTGATTAGCTGCAGAATTTCTCGCAATATTTTCACACTTTGTGGCTGTTGTTTCTTCTGCGTTGGTTTGAGTATAGTGTACAGTATGAGCGGGAATTGCTCGTGGTCCATGCTAAACTCGTAGCTGCGCGCCAGTATGCTGTCGACGAACTGCGATAAATGTGCCTTTAATTCAACGCTTTCCTGCAGTACCTTTAGTGTTTCAAGCGCCTGCAGGCGTGTGGTCTCCGAGGGCGCAGTCAATGCGGTCGCGATGCGGTAAACGTGCGAGGCATTTAGTTGCAATTTGTTTTGCTTGTTTTTTAATAAGGCATTGGTTAGCTTGAAGGCACGCAAGCGTAAAAGCGGATACTCCTCGCCAACAGCAGCGTTGTCTTCATACACATAGAAGTTGGAGAGGAATTCTAGCTTCTCTTGTGCGCTATCAAAAGCGATGCCAAATACTTCTTTTAGTGTTTTCAACCATTCCATTTGCTGCTGCGGTGGATTGCGTGGATTGAAGCCTTCTTCGGATAGAAGATTGAAAATGCCAAAGAATGTGCGTAAATCATCCTGCATCTGCTCCCACTCCATGAGTTGTTCGAAGCGTGTATAACGCGCCAATGCTACGATAAAATCGGAGAAAAGTTGCAATGGTATGCAATCTTGTTTCTTTACGAAATTCCATTGCTTGTTTTCCAGTTGGCGCACTTGAAAACGGCGATAATGTAAGCGCGTCTGCGCAAATATATAACCAGCCTCAGCCCCTGTGGAATCCTTGCTCAGGCAAGCGGTTGCTAACATTAACAAATGCGCGAAATGCAATGCGCTGCTGAATATGCGTTCGCCATGCGATTCAGCGCTGCGGAAGAGACTCAAACCGCCAGGGATGTGTGGTGAATTTGAAATTACTTCGAGGAATTGGGACTTAAACCCTGCAGCATTGTAAACATCACTCTTCGCAGGCAATTTAAGCTCCTTGAGGAAGCCAAACTTCTCGCCTAGTGGGCTCTCAATTATTTCCGATATAGCTTCAAATCTTTGATCGTCAATTTCATCAGGAAATAGTTGCGGCATTAGCGCGAGTAATATAATGTTTGTATCATAGTCTGCCACAACTTCTGCGGAAGTTAAATGCTTCACGGCCGCAGCTGTTAGCGGCGCCCAGTGTGTTGCGTCCAACTGCACTTTATGTAATATACCAATCAGCGCTTCTGCTACTTTATCTGTACCCAACACCTGCACAAACTCCTTAGTAGGCAATTTCAATATTTCTGCGACAACCAATTCACTGTCATCGGCAATGCGATCGGCCAAGCTTTCGCGCAACAGATGCAAATTTTGTGGACGAGCGCGGTAATCATTTAAATTGCTGAGTAGTGTTTTTACCGCAAATGCGCGTATAGTGGCAGTGTGATGATACAACTGTTCGTATATATTTGTGGCATTGGTGTCAAATGTTTTTAATCGGAAACCTGTAATGTATAGTTTAAAGCCAACGTACTACATTATTTATATACTAGTTACCTAAAGCCATTTTAAGCACGCTACGTTTGCTTGACAAGTCATCATTATTCGAATTTAAGCCCTCTTTTATTGTTAGATCAAATGCCGCTGGATATTTCCTTTCCAATTTACGCAAATATTCAGAGTACCATGACTGGAAGCTGCTACTGGTAACATTATCATCATCATCATCGGAGCTGAGCTCAATCATCTCACTGTCCTGTGGCGGCAATAGTTTCGGCTGCTCTTTATAAGAGTTAAGAAAAGCCCTAAAAAAAAAAACAATTTTATTAACTGATATATGCTCCGAAAAAAACTACTTACTTAATTACCTCCTGGGCCGATTCATCATTCAGTTTTATATCGTCTAATAAACGCTCAAGAAACGCTTTCAACAAAACTGACTCATCATGACCATCTTGGATGGCCTTCAAAGCATCTTGCAGCAGCGCTACATACAACGAATGCACATACACATTGCTCTTAGCCAAACTTGCCAAGTGCATAGTGAACCACTTCTGAGTGGCCAAGTTAAGCAAAGTTCTCTCGCTAAATTGCGGATTAGCTTTCTTTTGATTGTCAAATAAGAAGACTAGAAATAGCACTGCCGTTGCCCGTAAACGTTCCAGCGACACAGCTGCAGCACGATCCACCAAAGCTTTACACAACTTTGTGGTTACCTGTGTGCGTGCCAGCAGCTGCGTGGCTACTATGAAAGCAGCTGCTGCATAGTCCAACACATCGGACTGTAAGCCTTTAATCAACGAAGGTAGTATTGTGATAATATGCCATTCCTCCACCCGGGATGCGTGCTCTAAAGCGCCAACAACCACTGATGCATAAAAATTAAGTAGAGTTTGCAGCGAGTTCGCCTGTGTGCCCCATTCTTTCACTGCATCCATTGTAGATTGACAGACAAATTTAAGAAAAGCTACGTCCGTGGCTGCACGGTTGAGCAATACAGATTTGGGTACCGGTACACCAGGCTTTTGCAAAGGACGCAACCAATTCCATTCTTTATCTGACTGCTTGATTCGTATGACCTGCAGGACCAGCATGAATGCATTGGTTTCATGATAAGGCAATGCTAATGCCAACAAAGCATTGCGATTATATTCTTGTATGTGAAAACGACGTATCAACCACTCCAAGCACATAAGCGATGAGCGCAGCAGGAAGTAGGGAGAGAGGCGATTAAGAAATTTGTTAATATTGCGGTCAAGCAATTTGTTCAAATCACTCTGCTCAACAGAACGTTCTAAATCTAAGGTAGATTCATTGAAGAGCGTAGCTTCAAACGATTGAAATATTGGGTTAAGTGCGGTGAGTTCCTGTAATCCGGCTATGCCAATTTCATAGATGGTGCGCCGCGTTTTCGTGCCAGCTTCCTTGCGGTCAAATAACACCGAAGCCTTGGAACGCGCATCGGCCAATGCCATGGTCTGTGGCACGGCCAGGCGCTGTAGTTGCTCTTGCAGCGAGGTAGTCATATTTAATCACTATATTAAAGCACAATAAATAAAGACAAATCTCACAGAATTTAATATTTGCAGGAAAAAAACACGCGGAATGAAAAATGTTTGAGCATGCTGGCGCAATGTTGTCAGCTCATCGTGTAATCGGAACAGAGGCACAAAAAAATCCCTGTTTCTAGCTTTTGTGATTTTGCGGAATTAGTGGGCATGTTTACTCTAAACGAAGAGGCAGTTATAAGGTCAAATCTTTTACAATTACTTTAAGGGTACATAAATACCATAAACGATGCGTATAATGTAAATAAATTTTGTTCCCTTTCTTGGTATTAATTTTGGAAGAAACCACACTTTTCTTCCGCACAGCTGTTCAAGTGGCAGTGTTCATTGTGCAGTAATATTGTATTTAGTCACAGGGTGTCACAATAAACTGATTTATACGAATTGTTTATTTTATTAATTACAGCGACTTTAGCTTCCATAGAATATTTTTTTTATCATTGCTGTAGTACTTCTTTATTTTACAGTCAAAACAAGCACTTACAACCAATAAAGTGCATTATTTCATGAACTTCCGCCAGCAAACCGAAATTTTATTAACGAGTCACATGCAACTCTGAACACATCCTTTTCCGCTGCCATATGTAAATTTAGTTTTTGCGCCAATTTGTGAAGCCTTGGAAATTTCTTATTAGAACATTATTAGATGTGAATTTTAAGTGAAAAAGTGTTTTTAACAAAGATACTATACCGTTAAATCGTAAATTAATGTATTAATAACAGCAAGAGGCTATAAAATCGTGAATGCAATGGGATTTACAAAAGCCGTGTGCGTCGCATGAGGCCCCAGGCTTTCCGTGTAAGTTTTGTTTTTCATTTGCTATTCACCCTTCTTAATAATTGAATATGACTTAATTTCATAATGATTGCAATTAAAATGACTTTGCCATATTAAATCTCGCAAACAATCAAAATAAAACGCTTCTTTCATCTGCTATTGTTCTCAACCGACACCCTCCGCTCATCATCGGCCGGTCGAGTGCGCTCCAGCTCATTTGATAGCTATTTGTAAATGGCAAGTGAATAGAATGCAGACATTGAGATAAACCGGATTCGGTTTGAGTGTCATCAAATTAACAATGGCCTCAATAATTTATCATTTGCTCTTGAGGTTGATTACTAGCCGACCAACCTGCCTGCTTGCTTTGGTAACGTCAACAAAGTTACATATGTACATACTCGTACTTATCTTGCTTCCGAAGGCTTTCTGCAAATCATGTCAGTACAGATTTGGAAATTCATATCTGCCACTGCAACTACCCTTGTGCCAAGCAATAGCCAAAAAGATTTGTACACACTTTCCGTCAAATGTGTAGGGCTACGGAAAGTGGCAGGAAAGTAAAAACATAAACGAAGGAGTATTCGTGCTGATAGTTTTGTCAGCAGTTGTTTTGCTGTTTAGCTACATACATAGTATGTACGTACATACATATGTACATATGTATGAATATGGATGGTTGTTGTGATTACTGCTGTTGGCTTGCATTTAGCATGGGGGTTTGAGGGTTCATGCCTACTTTATTGTGGCTGACAAAAGCGCAAGACCAATACAGTAGGCGAGCACAATGATTATGGCAGGAAAAATCAATGGTTTCGTATGCTTCATGAATCATAAGCAAGGCTCAACTATTTGTTGCGGGGATTTTCGCCGCTTCTTGCTTTATTATTCATATGCATGGAGGATTTGTTGACCGTTGTTGTTGTTGCTATCACTGATACGTTGCAGTTGGCAAATACATATTTTGTTAAACAGCTTTTGTCTTCTTTGCTCTAATAATTAATGTATGAATATTTTTACATTTACTGTCATCGATAGGATTACTCTGAATCGGCGTTGAGATGTGAAAGGTGACATTAGGCACGAAGGGTGGCGGTGAGTAGCTGGAAGAAATGGATTTATTTTAATTTTTAATTAAATTTATCAATAATTCCCTACTAATGAGTTGTAAACAAAGCAAAATATGATTTATACATAAATTTACCGGATCTTCTTGGATTTAGTGCTGACCACAATAAAGCGGTTTTCGGCGCTAGTTAACGATATGTTTTGCTTATAAAAAAGTTTAATATTGTTAAGCACCCATATTGTCAAAGTTTTACGTAATAGATAGATACTATGTACGTATGTATGGTTGCATGTATACATACATACATACATACATACAGTATTGGACATATCTATAGCACCCCCCTTTCAAAGTGATATTGTTTGCCACTTATTTTTAATTATTTGTTTTTAAGAATTTTCAATTAAAATACTGTTAATTCTCTAACAAAACCCATATAAACCAATGTTTTAAACTTTTTAAAAGACCAGAAAAAAGTACAACAAACTTTCTCTTAAATTTCAAACTTTTTTCTCAGAAGCTCTAGAATTTTTTTGAGTACACAGTCTAAAAAATCAACGGTAATTTTTAGCCACTTGAAACTTGCACATTATTAGACTAAAATTGAATGGGCTATAAAACTGTGTACTCAAAAAAATTCTACCGCTTCTGAGAAAAAAGTTTAAAATTTGGGTGAAAATTTTTTGCACTTTTTTGCGGTCTTTTAAAAAGTTTTAAACTTGAGTTTATGTGAGTTTTGTGAGAGAATGAACTGTATTTTAATTGAAAATTCCTAAAAATAAATAAATAAACATGAGTGGCAACCCATATCACTTTGAAATGGGGGTGCTATTGTATTGGCCAATACTGTATATGTATGTATTTAAATTTTTTCTTTTTCTTTTTTGTTGAAAGTAAATGAAGTTAGTACCTTTTAGAGGTAACCGATATATGTATGTTGTATGCCTTTATATATTTTCGTAGTCCCTCATTCATTAAGAAGGTACAGCGGGACAGAGCAGAGTATCGGCCATACAAGAACGAAACGTTTTTGTATCAGTACTTTTTGCCTCCAAACTGACTTAGACTTTTTCCTATCCGTCTTATCTAGCCTGACGGCTGCAGTGCGGCCAGGTTAAATACAATCCAGCCGTGGAGAGACCTCAGATTCGGACACGTAAAAGTACTTGAAACTCTACCACTCCTCTACTCTGATTAGACAACAAATTCTCCACAAGAATCCCAGAGAGGAATGAGTGGGAAAGGGCCACAGACCTTAACCCAGGGTCTACGGCCATATATACAGATGGTTCCAAGCTTAACAAAATAGTGGGTAGCGGGATCTAATCTGACGAACTCGCGCTAAACCTCAGTTTTCTCTTACCGGACCATTGTAGCGTTTTACAAGCAGAATTAAATCCCGTAATGGAGGCGGCTCGGTGGCTTATAACCTCCGCCCCTTCAGGAAGGCGTGTTGCTATCTATGCTGACAGCCAGGCTGCTATCAAATCGGGCGATTCTATCGAGATCCAACGTCCAAAGTAGCCATAGAATGCAGGAAGACTCTCAACCTGCTGGCATCAAAATGCTACTTGACTGTTGTATGGGTGCCTGGACATAGGGACATCCCTGGCAACTGCCTAGCCGACGCGCTTGCAAGTAGGGGGACGGAAATATCAGAAGTCAGTTCTGCTCGGAATGCGGGCATACCTCTAACCTCCTGCAAATATAGACTAAAGGAACTCGTTGAGGAGGTAAATATAAGGTGGGCTGTGGAAACCTCCTGCCATACTACCAGACAAATTTGACCAAAGATTGATATAAAGCGATCCATAGCTGTTACCCGGCTGGACCGCTCCTCTCTCAGATTAGTAGTCGGGATAATCACCGGACACTGCCTGATGGGCACACACGGAAAAAGGCTAGGATATCCCACCAACGATTTCTGTCGCAGCCAAAACGCGCAACCAATTCTTCAATAAGTACTTTCTAGATTGTTTAGCCGATTTGAACTCGGCGAACGTGCTCGACTTTTTGTGCTATATAAAACACACTCAGTGGTTCAATTACTAAGGGAGGGAAAGAAAGAAATGTCTTCGGCCAGAGGTATAACAATGGGCTTTTCCAGCCCACGATAGCTCCGCGCTTTGCGCGGGCAGCCACTCTAATCTAACTAACCCAACCTATGTAGCCTGAGTCCCAGAAATCATTTTACATATTTAGTTGACGTAACTTAAGTCGGTTCTCAGTGTAGTTATAAAAATACAAATAAGTTAAACTGTTATGAATTCAGGAACTTGTTATTTTTGTTAAAAAAAAATGTGTTATGATTTTGTAAAGAAAACAAAAAAAATATATAAAGAAATTTACTTTTTTTTTTGGAAAAAAATTTTCAATAAAAATGTTTCTGGTGAAAAAGATTTATTTTTCTAGTTTTCGTAACCTTTTTAGGGGTTTCTAACAAAATTTCTCTGGCAACACTGGCTTTTATCATTATCATCATTATTACTCTCACTGTTACTATTACTATTACCATTACCACACCATTGCCTTACCATTACAACTACCATTATCAGATCCTTACCACCACCGTTTCCATTGAAATTACCAATACTAAGATCGCTAGATTTATCATTACCAATACCATTCCTTTTACCATTACTATTACCATTGTCACTTCAATTACCATTACTTGACCATTAATTTCACCAATAGCGTTATATTTTCAATTACCATTTGGATTATCATTAAGTATTATTACCACTAAATTATCATTACCATTACCATAAAAATGGTAATTACGATAATCATTAGCATTACCATTATTATTATAGGTACATTTGTATGTTCAAATACTATAGATACATATTAATACCATTACCATCATTCCGCTAACCATACGATTTCTACTAGCAATATAACTGCTATACTCATTACAACTATCATAACACTTTCCATTGCCATAACCACTGCCCTTATCATTATCATTGTCAGTACCATTATCATCATTATTACCGTCATTATTGCCACTTGGTAATGGCCAACTACAACAATTATCACGCCATTAACACTACCATTGCCATTACCAAGCTGTATCATTACCAATACCATTCCTCTCACCATTACTATTACAAATGCCATCACAATTACCATTACTTAACCATTACATACCTTCGCCAATAGCATTAGCCTTTCAATTACAATTTCGATTAACATTGAATACCATTACCATAATCATTACCATTACAATAATCA